AAACTGACTAACTGCCTTCTGTTGGTCTGTTCCAACAGTCTTGACAATCCAATTGGATGGCAGTTGTTACAAGTGGATGGCAGTTATTACAAGTGGMTGGTTAGTTGAGCTGATGTGGCCTCCTCTTGTAAAACTGACTAATTGCCTTCTGTTGGTCTGTTCCAACAGTCTTGACAGAAAAGACTTGGGTAAGCTGAAATATCTTTTGGGAATAGAAGTTGTAAGATCAAGACATGGCATTAACTTGTGCCAAAGAAAGTATGCCCTTGATTTGCTAGAGGAGACAAGATTGTTAGGTGCCAAACTAGCTGAAACACCTATTGAACCAAATGTCAAGTTATGTACTGATATTGGTGAAGAGTTTGAAGATCCTAGGAGGTATAGAAGGTTGGTGGGTAAGTTAAACCATCTGACTATTACTCGGCTAGATATTTAATTTGCAACGAGTGTGGTGAGTCGGTTTATGCAACATCCTCGGTTGCACACTGGGATGTAGTTCTAAGGATTGTCTGATACTTAAAAGGGAGCTCTAGGCTGTGGATTGTTATACAAGAATGGAGGAACTCTTGTGATAGAGGGGTGCACAGATGTTGATTCGGCTGGATCTGTTTTTGGCAAGAGATCCACTACAGGATATTGTACCTTCCTTGGAGGACATCTAGTGACTTGGAAGAGCAAAAAACAAATTGTAGTAGCAAGAAGCAGTGTTGGAGCTGAATACAGGGCCATGACGCATACTACATGTAAACTAGTGTGGCTGAAAAATCTTTTATAGGAGATGGGGTTCTCAATTGCCATGCCTATGAAGTTGTACTATGATAACCAAGCCGTAGTCCACATTTATTCTAACCAAGCCGCACTCCATATGTGAGTTCAGGAAACTAGCGGGCAGACTTGTTTACAAAAGGGTTGAGTCGGGGGAGAGTGGATTACATATGTAACAAGCTAGGATTAAATGATATATACTCTCTAGCTTGAGGGGGAGTGTTAGAGTCGACATCATAAGGGTAGTTTAGTCATTTGTCATTTAATTAAAGGTTAGATGTCTATTTTGTCTGTGTTTAAGTTGTGTGTCCCATACTTAATGAGGGACATAATTTTCTTTTGTATTCTATTGCACAAACTATAAATAAAAAGTGGGTTGTCTCTATTTCTCTCCTCTCTTTTTTCTCTTCATCTCCTTCTCTCTTCTTTCTTACTTCAGAACTAAAGCCGAGCCATTGTTAATCAAACTATTAACACTCTCTATAATGATAGGTTAGAGGCCCAAAGATTTAGCATGAAAAATAAATTGCCTATGGTCATCTCTGAAAATACCTCCACCACCTGAATCTCCTGGATTGCCTCTTGAAACTCGATTTACATTGACTTTTACCCAGCCACTTTTAGGACAGTTCCAAAGAACTAGGCAGGCTCTCTTGGACATCAAGATACTAAATTATACTACTTATTTTCGTTAGTCATCTTTGAAATCGAAGTATTATAGTTTCCATATTTTTTATGTTAGGACTTTGGAATGATTTAATAACAAAATAGTAGATACTTTTTTGATTTACATGAGCAATAGGTTTGTCTTTGATACTTTGATTCTGGGTTTGTGTCATGGTTCACAATTTTGATATCAATGGACATTTTGCCATCAGAGATTGGGAAACTTTGGGGATCTTTGGTTATGCTTGCTAAGGTATTTGAGAAATCTAAAGAAATCAGGGGAGTTTACTAAAAATGTAATTTGTTAATAAAACTTCATTGATTGTTGGCTATGATGCCCAGATATGGGTATGGGAATAGGAGTTACAACTCTCCATTTCTTATATCTTGGACATGGATATGGGTACAGTTATCCCATCTAATATGCTTATATAATGCTTTCATATCTAGATTTTTAAGCTAAATGTCATTTCTCAAGACTTACATCTTGCCAAATTTAATTAAATTTCTAACATGTGCCGATATGTTATAGAAATAGAATACATCTTTAAGTATCCAATATTTTCTCTGACAATACAATACCAGTATGGTTGGCATGCATAGGTATCTGGGTATCCTAGATTTTTAGTTGTGTAATTGCACATGTAGGATTTAGAAAGCAATAGGAAACAATTGTGCATATAAAATAAGGGAAGATTAAGTGACTCATATAAGTATCTCTATTTGTCTTCCTTTTAGTCTTTTTGCCAATTTTCTTTTCTATACATATTTCATTCAAAATTTTGACTGCTATTTCTTTTTGTTCTTATGTGTTTTGATCAGATTGGGTATCTTTTTTTTGTAGTTATTTTGTTTTGTTCTTTCTTTTTTTTTTCTTTTTTTTTTGAGGTTGACTGGTTTAGTAAGTAAAGCATGTTTAGAATAGTTAGCCAATCATTTAACCATAGTATCCTTATCTGCGCTTTGAGGAAAAGTTTTTCAAAAAAAATGATGATTTTAACAAAATATCAAAAATTTTCGATGATATCCTAAAATTTTAAATCTTAGATGTATGATTTTTTATTAGATGTATAATTTATCAATGAACTTTAAAGTATCACAAGTATATTGGTAATGTGTCAGAACCATGTAATAGAAAAAATATTGTTGGCTTATTTTGCATTGCCCCTTAGTGAAATAGGGAGATTTCACCAATAATCGCCGATGTTGCAAACCATTGTTCGCACACATTTTCAATTATTTTGGATTGGATGGAAAAGAAAGAAAGAGTGAAAGAAGAAAATGCTGTTTTTGATGCTTCTATTTTTAGTATTTTCTAAAACTACTAATAAATAACTTGTTGCAAGCAGGGAATACTTTCAACTGAAAGGGGTCAGAGAATTTTACTATCTTTTGATTCTTATGATAGGTCTCTTATTGCGGTAAAGATATAAACCTTTTCTGCTTTTCTTTAGTGTTATTTACACTATTTTCTTTTGCAATATGTTATGCATCGTCCTTTGTTTTCTGCAGGTTCACTCAAAGAGTGTTAACATGGAATTGGTTGAAAAGCTTCTATTAAGCTCAGAAAGAAAATATACTGGTAAGTTTGTGCTCATGCTAATTACTCTAATAATGCCCCTTTTACTTTAAAAGGAACAAAATAGTAAGTTAGTACTAGTTGACACACTTCTATTTTTTATGGATATCATCAACAAAAGATTTATCAAAAAAAAAAAAAAGATATCATCAACAAAAGATGCATACTGTATTTGTGAAAAAGAATTCGTTGTTGAACAGTCTAAGTTTTTTATAGGAGAGACTAAGAGGACACAAGAAGAAACCAAAGAGAGGATAATGCTTAACTAATGGAGATTATCTGGAGGTGCACAGGGGCAGCTATATTTTGGGCTATTTGGGAAGAATGGAACCCAAGAATCTTTTTGGAAAAGGAGAGAAGCAAAGAAGCTATTATAGAGACTATTATAGTCAGAGTGTCCCATTGGCTGATATCCTTGGAAACTTTTCTTTGGTTTCATTAGGTGACATCTTTATTATTTGGAAGGAAGTGGCCGCTTCTGTTTTAAATAAGGAAGTCATCAATCCTACTTGGTCTTCCCTGTGCAACCAGCGTAGCCTTGTACCTGTCTAGACTACTATCAGACTTCAATTTAACTGAATACACCCACTGACTTCCTATAAATGAGGCATCAAGAGGAGGATGAATTAACTCCCAAATGACATTCTCCAGAAGAGTAGCTATTTCAGCATCCATGGCATCTCTCTAATGAGTGTGAACTATGGGTTGCAAGTAAGACCTTGGAATATCTTTAGTGGACAACACAACAGAAAAAGAACTATAGTCTGTGGGAAAACCATAGCGGTCAGGTGGTCTAGAGACATTGGTGGAACGACATAAGGTAGGGACATCGGTATAAATAGGAGGGGACGGTTTACTTACAAGAGTAGGAATAGATGTGGCACCATGCTCCGTGGGAAAGGTTGAGAGCATAGGGGTTGGAGCTGCTAATCGCTTCCTGAAATAAGTTTGGTGCAACAACTGAGAAAGAGATGGTGCTTCTGATGTACCTACAAGCTTAAATTGTTGTAGGATAGATATTGAAGGAGTAGAAAATTTTGTGATATGTTGAAAAAAAGAGAGATTTTCAAGAAATATCACATTCTGAGAGATTCTAGTCTGATGAGATTTCAGATCATAACATATGAACCCTTTACGGTCAGGACCATATCCTAGAAAGGCACATAAAACAGACTGAGCAGATAACTTAGTATATTCATGTGGAGGAAGATGAACAAGACAGATACAGCTAAACACATGAAGCATAGATAAGTTGGGAGGAGTTTTAAAAAGGGACTGGTGTGGGGACAAGTTACCAAGAACAGACTGAGCAGTTTTAAAAAGGTTCTAACAACACTCAAGATATGGCCATTTTTTACATTCAGCAACTCCATTTTGTTAAGTGCTAGGACGACTTATGGGACTGTATACCATGATGTTGCAAATAGGATTAGAACTCCCCATCAATGTACTCTCCCCCTGAGTTTGAATGTAGAGTACAAATGGAAGCATTAAATTGTGTGTTAACCCAAGCATAAAACAGTTTGAACATAGCAAAAGCATCTTATTTGTTACGAAGAAAATATATCCATGTATAACATGTATGGTCAACAATGAGGTTTGAGACAGTTTTTTGGAGTTTTGTTTCTCTTCTTTCTTGGTCGTGTGCCAAGAAAACACAGTAACTATAAAACCTGAATGGTGTGAAGGGAGTTCAGGTTCTCCTAAAACCCTCCTGTGGATCGTGTAGTCCTTGTACATTGTGGTACGTGCAATAGTGAGATCTAGCATGACCTGTTTATGCAGTAATAGTGGCGGTTTGCTGTTTCGGTTAGATCGTGTGGTCTGGTTGGTGATAAGTTGCTGTTGTCCAGGCATGAGAGTGGTACAGTATGTCTCTGGAAAGTGTGGGGGGACTCCCTTCAATTTCCTAGCGGTTTTGTTTATTCCAGAAGGTGCTGGTCTTGGCTTGGGTAATTCCTTTTATGAGGTTTCAGTATGGACTGAAGTGATAAGTGTGGTTACAGTGTAGTTCCAATGGCGTCAAAAGATTCTGCTACATCTGGTGTGACTACTAATCAAGGAGGGCTTGGTAGTGGTTCGGATCATATGCATTTTTCTATGACTGTCACTCCTCTTGATGGTTGGGACCATCTACCATGGTAAAAAAAGTTGAAAATATACATCACAGCTTGGGGAAAGAGTAACTACATAAATGGTACAGTGAATGAGCTGAAATCAGGTACTGTTAAGCATGATAAATGGAACCAGGAGAATTTCCTAATTATGTCTTGGCTACTTCTATGGTGCCATCAATTAAGTAGAATTTTATGTGCGCAGATACAGCCCGTGAAATCTGGGAAAAAGCAAAGTCTACTTACTTTGAACAAAGACACTATTGCTAGAATTTACCAGCTGTAGGCAAAGTCTTCTACATGCAAGCAAGGGGAGCGTAGTCTTTCAGCAATGTGTGTTTGCCTTCCTGCTTGGACTGAACCCAATATATGAGCCTATAAGGGTCCAAATATTGGGCAGCAAGGACCTTCCTTCTGTCCAAGAGGTGTATGCATTTATATAGTCTGGGGAGAGTAGCAGAACTGCTATGAATTCTCTTAAGGGGGAGCAGATGGCCTTGGCTGCAAAGGGTGGTGTGAGTACTACAAGGAAGGGTGGTTTTTAAAAGAAAGGAGATAAGAAAGATAAATTGTGGTGCACTGACTGTTAGAGACCTATACATACTCATGATGGATGTTGGAATCTAGTTGGAAAACCGAAATGGGCTCAAGCGTTGAATAAAAAAACCAGCACCAGAGAAAAATAAGAAACCTACTCTTAAGAAGTATACCGCAACCAATATGGCCTCCCACGAACAAGCAAATAGTTCTATTGTGAGTACATCTCAGGATCGTTCCTCTGGTTCAGATCCCAAGGAAGAGTTTATAATACCTTCCATGATCATTTGGAAATTTATGGTAAGGCATTGCAGCAGATGGATTATGGCCCTAGCCCCTCAACCTCCTTTGCCTCTACATCAAGTTAACTTTGTTTCTAGTCTTAGGAATCACCTTGGAAGTTAACTTTGTTTCAACCCTATAAACTTCTTTCTAGAAGAGAAAAGTTGGGACTAGCTGCTGGTTCATTCTCTTCCATAGCTGGTCAAGGATCAATTTCTCTGTCGTTTGGCTTTTCTCTTTCAAATGTGTTTCATGTTCTTAATTTACCTATTAACTTTTTGTCACTCAGTAGTATCAGTCACTCTTTAAACAGTTCAACAACCTTTCTTCCGCATTCTTGTGTGTTTCAGGATCTGACTTCTGGGAAGACGATTGGTAGAGGGAACTTAGTGGGTGGTCTTTATTTGTTGGAGAATAAACCTGGTTTTGTAGCTATAGTTAAGTTAATTTGTGACATTATCACCTTGGTTATGTCCTTTAAGTCATTAAAATGTTTGTTTCTAGAATTCTTTAAGTTAGTGTCACTAATTGAACTATAGTGTTATACATGTCAACTAAGTAAACATTCTAGAAGGATTTTTCCTTTGAGAAATAAAAGTTCATATTTTCCTTTCCATATTGTTTACGCTAATGTGTGGGGCCCTGTTACTCTACCTTCTAAGAGTGGCTACAAATATTTTATCATGTCCATTGATGATTATTCCCGTTACACATGGGTTTACTTGATGCATTCCAAAGATGAAGTGCATAAACTTCTGAAAGATTTCCAATGTATGGTATTTACCCAATTTTGTGTGAATTTTTGGCTTCGTGTGGATCCCCTCACCAAAGATCATGTGCGAAGACTCCTAAAAAATTGGCATTGCTGACAAAAAAATCACCATTTCCTTGTAATCCAACCTCTTGGTGGTTGGATTATAAGGCCCCATGTCACCCACTTGTAGTAAGCTTGACCCCAAGGCTACTCCTTATGTTTTCCTGGGTTACCCTTCATCTACCATTGCTAGGGCCAATAGAGTTCATAAGCCATGGTGTAGCATGAAGCCATGCCACAAATACTATCATAATCTCAGAATATAGATCCCCTTCAACCAGGTACCCTTATTCCTATCTCCGAATATAATGAGTTGAAGGTGTGCAAGTTTAAGAAGTCAGTATATGGATTCAAATAGTCGTCAGGGGCATGGTTTAGTAGGTTTCATTTAGTTGTATAACAGATGGAGTTCAAGCAGTGTCTGTTAGACCACACACCTTTTATGAAGAGTGGGCAAGGAAAGATTGTTGTCTTGATAGTCTATGTTGATGTCAGTGATAATTGGGTCCCTACTAGTTTGAAGTACAGGATTTGAGTCCCATACATCGATTTCTTGGAAGTGAAGTTGCCCGCTCTTAAGAAGGGATCTCCATTTCCAAAAGGAAATATATCCTAGATCTTTTGGAGGATACAAGTAAGTTGGGATGTAGCCTACTGGCACTCCTATTGATTCAAATCACAGGTTGGGTGATTTTGGTGGTGAACCTGTAAAAGCTGTAAAGCAATATCAGAGACTTGTGGGAAGACTCCTTAACTTATCACATGCTCCTAAGGTTGTTCATCTGGAGGCTGCAGAGAGGGTTCTTAGATACCTTAAGAAGTATCCTGGAACTAGGTTATTGTTCAAGAATAATGGTCACCTAAAGGTTGAAGTTTACACAAATGTTGACTAGGCTGGGTAAGTTGAAGACGGAAAGTCTACCAATGGGTATTGCACCTTTGTAGGAGGAAACTTGGTCACATGCGAGTAAGAAGCAGGGTGTTATGACTAGATCCAATGCAGAGGCTGAGTACAAGACTGTCTCATGGAGTTTAAGAAATCTTGTGGATAAAAAACATATTGGGTGAGTTGGGGTTTGGTATGAGAAGAAAAACAGCCTTTTGAAAAGAAAGGACTGTTTAAAATATTGCAGAAAATCAAAAGAAAGTAGTAGAAATCAGGTTTCAAGAAGAGAGAAGAAGAAGGTGGCGGCAACTAGGGTTCAGAGAGAGATTTTCGAACATAATCTTCTCTCTTACACCCCTAATTCCATTTC